CTTAATTTAGGTTTAATATATAAAAATAATAACTAAGTATTCTGTTAGTTATTAATGATTATCCTAATTATATTTTAGATTTTTTATATTTTAAATGAAATGTTTATTTAATATTTGATTATATTTATCTGTAGTTATTTAGACGAATTCAAGTATGGAGCTTTAATAAGTTGTACTTATACACACTTTACTTGTAATATTAAATTTTAAGTAATATGCATCAATATGCAGTACTTTGTGTATAAAAAATTATTTTTAAGAGTTTTTGTCAAATACTTTATAATATAGTATAAATAATGTAAAACAATGAATATATTTCTTTAAAAAGTTAATTAATATATTGATAATTTGTTTTCATAAAGACTTTGAGATACACCGTTAACAAAATAAGTTTGAGATACACCGTTGACAAAATAATTTTGAGATACATTGATAATAATTTTGTTATAATGCTATTTAAGACTCCCAATATCTATATCACTATATATTAATGTTACAAAGAGTTTGAAGATCTTTTTCTTCCAAACAAGGTCTTATAAGATTAGAGTTCGACTAAAAGAATCATTTTTTGTTGTCATTATATCATCGCATCTTCTTATTGATTTGGGATATAACCAAACTCACCATATTCCAAAATTTAACAAATATTTTATCTCGTGATATCATCTTGTTACTTATGATTGTTACTTTAGTATATAATAAAATTTGATAATAACATTTTTTTATTCTATTATGAATAAAATTTTAATTTTATTAAATTATCATGTATGTATATATATATATATATATATATAGAGAGAGAGAGAGAGAGAGAGAGAGAGAGAGATGTGTTTATTTAAGAACTTTAAATATTTTGAGACATGTTTAGCCAACTACTTATGATAGAGATAAAAAAAGGGAGATGAAAGGATGGAGAGGAAGGCTTACTATAAGAGAGATGGACAATTGGAAGAGATTGACAGACATAGAATTACCAAAACGGCTACGTACAATAGAACAACTATTCATCATACTTAGGGACAAAAAAGTCTTTAACAAATTAAACATTTTACAAAACCAAAAAGTTCAGAAAATTTCTATGAGAAATCTTATTCTATGAACGTGCCACGTCATTGATCATGGTTGTTACTTGTATACACACACACATAGGGCCTAATCAAATGATAACTGTTTTGTTTTGTGGTCACGTTGAGATTCGATCTCAACCACAAATCAAATGTTAAATTAGAAAATTAATAGTTTTGGTAATTTTAACCTCAAATATTAATTAAGAGTTTTTTTAGAGATTTTATAAATATCCTCTCTCATTTCTCCTCTTTCATCATTCCGGTGATTCTTATTTGGTGAACCCTATTCCGATGAATCTTATGTGAACACAATATACACAATGTGATACCCAAATATACATGTACAAGATGCACAATGTGATACCCTTTGTAAAACAATGAAAATAACCAAATGCACACTATGATACATTTCATAAAACAAAGAAAATACATTGTGAAACACGTGAAAACATTGTGAATGTATCACTATGATACACTTTGATTCACAAAATACGATGTATATTAGGTAATTGATATACTAGGTAACTAATTTTAATTAAATATTTCATTCTAAAAAATTTAATTTAATATTTTGATTAGTTGTCAATAATGGAATTACAATATTACCTTTTAGCTTATTTAAAAAGTTTCCTTAAATATCTCAAACAAATGGTTCACGTTGGATCTCACGGTTATCACAAACTAATTAGTTCTCCCTTAAATGAACCCATATATATACATACATACATACATACATACATACATACATACATACATACATACATACATACATACATACATACATACATACATAAGATAAGATATAGAAGGGATGAATGACGTCCAAACAATGCAAATCAAATAATTTGAAGTTAAATAACGATACATGATATAAAAACAAGACTGATAAAAAGCATGGAAACTCAATCGATGATATCAAAACCTTAGGATCAAAGGATTTGTGAGCGTAATTTGGGAAGCCTGAATCGAGGGATTTGCTAATAATTTCAATTTAGAAATAAATTACGATTTTCCTTTCAATGGTTTGTTAATAATTTCAATTTTCGTCTTCTAATTTAAAAATTATGATTTTTGTTCGTATACTTTATAATTGTATTCCTATTTTCGTCTTTAGACTAATTCCAAAGAGACCAAAACAACAATAAATTATAAAACCATAAATTTTAAACCACGGGCGGAAAATCACAATTTTTTAACAAACCAAACATGACTTACTCTATTATTATTAATGTTTAAAAATATTATTCATTTTTATTGTTATTAGTATTCATTTTGAGATTAATATTATTATGATTATCATTGTTTATACCAATAATAATAAAATCATTATTAAATATTAAAAGGAAACCGACAGTTTATCGACAGGTTTTTTATATTTTTTCTAACCGTTTTTCGACGAAAATTTGAAAATAAATAAAAATAAAAATGCCATGGACGGTTTATCGATGGTTGTTTATAATATTTCCGACGGGTGTTTTAAATTAATTGAAAATTGAAATGATGTTTTTTTCGTCGATAAACCGTCGGTAAAAACCATCAGTGATGCACAATATTCTATTAGTATGTGAACACTTTCTAATAAATACTATTATATTTTATGAGCGTGAATACTTTCTTATAAATATTTCTATAATTTATGAACGCATTGTAAACACAATCTAAATCTAAACATACCACTTGTGAACCACAATGTGAACCTTGCATGTGAACACTGAATCGAACAATTTATTAAGGTTGTTTATATTGTGTTCACAATATGTTCACCTTATGTGCATGATATGTATGTTAATACGTAGATAGGAGATAATGGTAGAGAGAGAGAGAGAGAGAGATAAACCTGTTGAAAAAATAAATTCAAATAAGAAAATGAACACCAAATAAAGAGATAATCTTTATAAAATTTAATTATATTATAGTGACAAAGTTAAACCTTTTAGAATTCGGACCCACCAAAACCTCAAATGTGACAATTCACATAGATTGAATCTATCCTTCTCGATAGATTCAATGAAAAAAAGGGGTAGAATCAGAGTTTTCACTTAGTGAACGACAAATTTAAATACAATGCAAAAATAGTAAAACCAACTTGTTTAATAGTCTTTCGATTTGAATGAGAAACTGCACGGAAAACCTGTCCTTAAAGGTTTTATACGACCACTCTTTAGAAGCTGTGAGTCTGCTAGTCGCAAAGCCCCCGGATTTGATGCAGTAGGTTATTCGTTTGTGAACAGTTATCACAAAGAATATAGAGCAGGTTTTTTGTAGCAAAAACCGGTAGAGGGAAGTAGGGATGGGAGCAGAATTTCGTCAGATGAAAAGTAGTTTTTCAATACTGGGTGAAACCCTAGTTCTGGCTCACGAGAATGGCCCACGAAGAAGAGATAGTGGGAGAAAAAATCTCAACCGAAAAGTCTATCTCTAAACCAAGTCAAAAAACATTTTAATTTAAATTAAATTGTTAAAATCGGATTAATTAAAATTAATAATTATCTCAAAATATTAAAATTAATAATTATCTAAACTTAATTGATAATTATCCTCCTGACGAACTTCTATTAAAAAGATACCCGGAGCTCGGGGCGAGGCTCCTTCTGCTTCGATGCGAAGTGCAAAGTGCAACTCCTCGCGAATCCCACGGCCTCGGCCACGCACACGCATGTGTTGGGCCTTCCATTCAAGACCCCCACCCCCACCATGAGTCCAGTGACATGTTCAAAGCCAACTACTTTAGAAAGCCTTATAAGCTTCTCTAGAAATAAACTCTCTAACAATGTGGAATGGAAGGTTAACTTCCAACCTACAAATTTCCAACAAAACCTCCCTACTCCTCTTCTAAGGAAGCAAAAAGGACCAGGTGTTGTCATGAACCCCCCCCCCCTCCCCCCTCTCTTTTCTGAATTCTTCACCTTCCTCACCATTCTTCAAGAAAGAACAATGCCCACAATTGTTTTTTGATTTGATTAGTAACAACATAAATTTTCTATTGGCGAGGTTTTGTGTAGAGGGCTAAAACATTTTCTTCCTTTTTTTCACTTTCAAAAACTATTGGCAGCAAAATAATGTTACTATTTTAGTTAAACCCACAAAAGATATCTATTTGATCATGGGATTTCCAGGAGCTTTTGTTACGGTGGGTTTTTTCCGGAGGTTATGTAGAACTCATAAGGGCACCGATGGAAAAACTTCTGCTGAATGCAGACAACACCCCCATTAGTTGGCTGACCGAAGAAGTCACCGGCTATATCATCAATTCACAACCGAACAACCATGTATGGCTTAACGAATAAGCTATAAGCTTATTCAGGCTATTAAGCTATCACCAAACATCCTCTTATATACGCTCAAATGATCATTGATCTTGTTAATTGGCTGGTCAAAATTTTGTTTACAATAAATGTTCACGTCAAGATAACTAGTTATCTTCACATCAACATGAAAATGAATTATTATTACCAAAAGGCCGTCTTGGTCTAGCGGTATCCGGTAGCTCAACCATCCACCACCAAAGGTAGGGAGTGCGTATGAGATCTATTGCCTTGTACAAATATCTTTTATACTTAGAAAAATGCATTATTGTTTCACAAGGACGTACGAGAACATCACCTAAAGAAGCATGATATATACTTTGTGAAAAACATATTCTACGTGACTGATTATGTTTTTTTCTTTTTCGTATTCGTAAAACTAAAATTCATTCAATATAATTTCACTAGTTTCATATATATGTTTAGGATTTAGGTATGGTAGTTCTTCTGCCTAAGACTTGTGTGAACGAAAATTTTTGCAACATTTTGCTCCATGAAAATGTTCTCTTGGTTTTCGTCTTTCTTTGGGTTCTTTCATATTTACATCAATTTCTCCTTATAAATATCGTTTAAATCCAATGAACTTAGTGCATGTTTTATAGATTGATGATCGAGTTGATATAGAAATATGGGGTACTCACATAACATGTCACTAATTGTTTATGCTATATTGATAGCATACCTACATTTCTCTTATGTCCAAAATGCACCACAAGACTACGTGAATGCCCACAATCAGGCTCGAAAAGAGGTCGGTGTGGGGCCTGTGATGTGGAATGCTAAGTTGGCTAAATTTGCTGAAAATCAAGCCAATCAAAGAAAGACCGATTGCGCAATGCAACACTCGCGCTCTTCACAATACGGTGAGAATCTTGCCACTGGGACGGGGGAGTTCTCGGGTATGGATGCAGTGAAATTGTGGATCAAAGGGAAAGCTAATTATGATTACAAGTCGAACTCTTGCGTTCAGATGAGGAAGTGTGGGGGCTATACTCAAGTGGTTTGGAGAAAATCGACCCTTATTGGGTGTGCCAGGGTTAAATGCAATAAAAATAATTGGTTCGTGACTTGCAATTATGATCCTTCGGGGAACAATATTGGTGAGAAACCATATTAGCTAGGAGTGAAGATTTGGTTCCAAATGAGTACGTAGAAGTGTATTGTGATTTGAGTGTGGTAGTAAAATTGAGATGCTCTTGTGAAGAATGTTTGGTTATAAAAATATAAGAAATGATAAATAACAATGACATAAGATTGTATTTATTGGTTCTAAAATTAAGGAAGATTCTTACTGTCACTGCTAAAAACTACGTCGTTGCAATCTTTAAAATCTATATTTTCGAATTGTATTTCTTTCAAATTCACCTCTCGTTTCTCATTTTTCACTAAAATAAGCCAGAATTTCATTTACTTTATGTCCTACAACACTAACTTTCTTGTTTCATTTGTTTTATTTCTATTTACTAGTTATGTGATCTAGATTTCCAATTTTACGAGCTTATGAATCTCAAAAACCTAAAGAACGTCAAGAATCCTTTCGATTCGACTTATCAGCTAAAGAGTTATCCCCCAAAATTTACTACAAAAAATGATTACAAAAATTGTTTACTATGAGTTTACTAACACTTACGATGACCTATTTTTAGAAAATTTACCATCTTGTAAATATTGAGAAAATAAACAGTATCAGAAAATGATGATTACGGTCCAAAATACGAATCAAGATACAGATAACAATGATGACAATAAGCAATTAAGGGACGATGAGATATTTGTATTTGATATTAACACTTCATATTGTAACACTTAACTTTGTATTTATTATTGATATTTGTCTTTTTAAATGTCGATCTATATATATTACAATTAGTACAAAAATTCTAAATCACATTTATAATAAAATGGCAAAAAAGACAACCCAAAAAAGCATCCAAAAAAGAAAATTAAAAAATATGTCTACAGCTTTGACAATCGTATCTACATGCAATTCTCAGACAACTAAAAGCATTAAGTTACCTATAGAGGCGATATGTTGTCGCTAAATTACTTCTTTTATTTTCTAATATTGGCCTATGTTACGATGACATGTCATATCTATAAGACCTCGCAATTATGGTTGCTTGACATCCTATAAGTTTTTAGATACTAACTTAAAAGTATTGATTACACCTTTAACCATGACTTCGAATTTTTGCGACGACGTTTGTCATCACTATAACTCTTGTGTATTGCAGAACAATCAAATACAATTAACTTTGAACAAGCGGTCAAATCAAATATGGTAGATAAGAGAATTGGACTGGTTCTACTCACCGGATATTACAATTGATTATTCTTTAGGTCAAATTGGATACATCCAATATTTTAAATCACTTATTTCAAATATCTAACTTAAGAACACATCTCTCTCTCTTTATATATATATATATATATATATATATATATATATATATATATATACACACACACCCATAATCAAATGAGAACTAATTAGTTTGTGGTAACTATGAGATCTAACGTGAGCTAATCATTTAAGATAATTAATACTTTTCTTAAAATAAAACAGAAGGGTAAATTGTGTTAATTATTCAATTTACTTTAATTAGTTTAATATTCCAGTTTACTTTAATTAATTTAATTACTTTAATATATATATATATATACACACACACGGACATACAGGAACCAAAATTCAGTGGCCTTCTCCGGCACCCATCACTTTGGTGATCTCCTCCAGTCATCTTGTCCGACCAAGACGCCATATATATACAACGTATGTATCATAGAGGTACCACAATTGGTGTCATAATGGTACCACAGTTGGTGTCACAGTGGTAACACATTTGATATCACAGTGGTCTCGAAGTTTACTTTGTGTGTTTTGAGTATTACATGTGTATCTTGGTGTATTTTGGGTATCACATGTTGTTCACCGGAATAAGATTTATCGAAGGCCGAAAGCAGAAGAGAGAGACAGAGGAGAGAAAAAAATTTAAAATACCTAAAATGTCAATTATTTAAAATTTTAAGTCAAATCACCAAAAATATTAGTTTCCTAATTTATCCATTTATTTGTGGTTTGGATTAGATCTCACAGTTATCACAAACTAATCAGTTCCCCCTTGAATGAACCCACATATTATATATATCTATATATCTATATATATATATATATATATATATATATATATA